GTTTCTGGAATCTTAACAATTATATGCCTATGTGTAGTTATTTTTGATCAAGGCTTGTTGGAGTCCTATATGCCTCACTTATCTGTATGTCAAGTTCTTTTCCCCTGCTTGGGAAGTTTTCTGCCATCACTTCTGTGAACAGGTTTTTTTTATGTCCACTTTCACTCTCTCCTGTTTCTTCACTCAAATCAGTCTTAAGTTATTCTTCTTTGCATCATCTAGCAGCTGCTGGATTGATTTCTTGTGGTCCCTTACAACTTTAAAGCAATTTTTCTCTGCCTGGTTACTAATTGCAATCTTATCTTCTATATGTGAAATTCTGTCCTCACATTGGCTCGTTCTGCTGCGTAGACTTTCAATAGAGTTTTTAATCTCCAGGAAATCTGTTTGCATCTGTTTTATGGATTCCATTCCTTTTCTATGTTGGGATTCCATCATGTTCCTGAGCGCCCCTCTAGATTTATTAATCATGTCTTGCACTGTGATCACAATCTCTGCTGTTATCTGAGAAATTATTTCTGATTTCATTTTGTTCCAGATCCTCTTTTGTTGCCAGTTCAGGGAGTCCAGGTGGTTGAGTATCAGAGTGTTCCATCTAATTTCCCTTTGGTGTTTCTGTAGGTGATCTGGAAGTCTTGTTTTGAGACTTTTTAAAGTGTCTTCTCATTTTGACATGGGGTGGGGGCATGGGATGCCGCTGGCGCCCATGCGGCTCACCTCCTGTGTGCTGGGGTGGTGGTGATAGGGCAGCCTGGAAGCCTCCTCTTGTGCACTGGGAGTGGCTCACCTCCTGTGCACTGGGAGTGGCTCACCTCCTGTGTGCTGGTAGGGGTCTCACAATTTTAACAGATATATTTGATAACAACTATTTGCTTAAAAGAATGAACAATTAAGAGTAGATCTTAATTGATGTAAAAAACAGATCTGTTTATATTAAAGGCTTCCCAATGGATGCAACCCTCAATGATATCAAAGAACAGCTAGAAGATAAAGGTCAAGTACTAAATATCCAGATGAGAAGAACATTACACAAAGCATGTAAGGGATCCATATTTGCTGTGTTTGATAACATTGAATCTGCTAAGAAGTTTGTAGAAACTCCGGGCCAGAAGTATAAAGACACAGACTTGCTAATACTTTTTAAGGAAGATTATTTTGCAAAGAAAAATGGAGAAAGAAAGCAAAATGAGGTGGAAGCTAAATTAAGAGCTAAACAAGAGCAAGAAGAAAAACGGAAGTTAGCAGAAGATGCTGAAATGAAATCTCTAGAAGAAAAGATTGGATGCTTGCTGAAGTTCTCAGGTGACTTAGATGATCAGACCTGTAGAGAAGATTTGCAAGTCCTTTTCTCAAATCATGGTGAAATAAAATGGATAGACTTTGTCAGAGGAGCAAAAGAGGGAGCAATTCTATTTAAAGAAAAAGCCAAGGAAGCACTGGATAAAGCCAAAGATGCAAACAATGGTATCCTACAATTAAGGAACAAAGAAGTGACGTGGGGAGTACTGGAAGGAGAGATGGAGAAAGAAGCTTTGAAAAAAATCATAGAAGATCAACAAGAATCCCTAAACAAATGGAAATCAAAAGGTCGCAGATTTAAAGGGAAAGCAAAAGGAAATAAAGCTGCCCAGCCTGGATCTGCTAAAGGAAAAGTACAGTTTCAGGGCAAGAAAACAAAATTTGATACTGATGAAGAACGTGATGAAAATGGTGCAGCTGGACCAGTGAAAAGAGCAAGAGAAGAAACAGACAAAGAAGAACCTGCATCAAAACAACAGAAAACAGAAAATGGTGCTGGAGACCAGTAGTTTAGTAACCAATTTTTTTTTTAATTCAACTTAGATTTTAAGCTGCTTTTTGTCTTTGGAGGCTTTTAAAAAGAAAACCAAATTAGGTACACTTCAATGTCCACCTGTAAAAAAGGACAATTATTTTGTTGTTGTTTTAACTTGTCTTTTTGTTGTTATCCACATACATTTTTTTAAAAATGTATAGTTGTTTGTGTTCACATGACTCAAATATCAAAAGGAACATTCTTCCACTAAATCACCTTTGTAATATGAGAATGTATTAGTATAAAATAACAAAATATATACTATATAAAAAGAATTTTAAAAAAAGAGTAGACCTGCTAGAGAATTATAGGCAATCTTTTAAAAATATATGACAAATAAAATGCAAGCAAAATATTTTAGCTATTCTAACATGAACACAAATTAAAATCTGTCTTCTGGTTTAATACATTAGAATTTTTTTTACATAGACTTTGATCTGAAAAGAAGTATTATTGTTACACATTCCTTTATTCTTTTTAACAAAATTTTATTTTTATATCATACAAAACATGTTTATTGTATACTGTTAGAATAGATATGTGTAACATAAACTGCTGCTATATAGCCATTTTTCTTCCTTAAGATCTTTTTTTGGTACATTTTAGGTATACAGTTCGTTTACATTTATCATTGGGTGTTTGTACCTGTACATGATGCATCTTGGTTCTTATTTTTTCCCCATTATCTGTGCACCCTTCACCCCCTCCTCCCTTCCCTATTTACATAGACATCTTTTCCATTTTTTTTTTCTTTTCTGGTAGTTTTTTCTTTCCTTTCTTTCCTTTCCCATTCCCCTTGCTTCACCCCTACCTACATCTTTGGACCTTTTTTCCACTTTAAAATTACCAATTATTCATTTTAATCATTTTAACCCTTGATTACACTATCAGTTTCTCACACTAGAGAAACTATTTGATATTTACACTTAAG